GGCTTGGTTTGCTATGAGAATCGCTTCCGCATACTTGAACTGCTCAAAGGCCTTACAAGAGATGGAGTGGTCACAGCACTCCTCAAGCTGCCCGTGGGCAGCAAGCCTACATGGTAGACACGGAAAATTCAGATAAAGGTTTCTTGTGTTTCAAGTAAGCTTTTGGCGGTTGTGGCTCTTGAGGCCGGATGTGCAGCCAACATTCATGCGCTCCACTTCCGAGGGACGGACCGCTTTGGACTGTCCTTTTCTCAGCGCTTCCATCCCATCCCGGTTGCAGGATAAAACCTGACGCGCTGGAAACGCAAGCGAAGCTTGCATTGCTGGTCCGAATAATGTTGTTGCGCTCACGCCATGCCGGCTCTTATTCTGACTGCACCTGCCCGTCTGAGAATTCTCACTCCAGTGTATTGTGAAGAACATCCAGTACCAACAGTCACCCGTGGGAAACCTTCCCAAGTACTGAATACTTCCGGTAAACACATCCACGGCCGGCTGACAGCCGAAATGGTCCGGCTTTGAACGCAAATTTGAAAACACACCCGAAAGAAATCCCTACCCTACGCATCGCATTAGTAGGAACTTCCCCTCTGCCCTGGGAAGGTTTCCTGCAGCTAAATCTCACGAAGAATGATTGTGGCTGGTGCATGTTGCAGGGTTCCTCTACCAATGATCCCACTACGTGGCGCCACGATCCTCTATTCGATAACCTACGAAACCTTGGGCTGCGGCAAGGGCATGGAAGTCCTGCAGCTACATGAGCAGCGGACAAAACTTCTTCTCTGGCCCATGGTCAAAAGTCCCATTGGATGGAACTATCCCGTTCCTACTCAGCTTCAAAGCAATTGACCAAATCTACTACTACTGTATCATCTCGTTTTAAAACACCTGTGTCAGGTCTGGAATGTTGTTTCTCAGCGAATTTGCACGCAACAAAAAAATGCCGATCTCGTTGTTAGGGGGGACCACCTCGCTTTGCAGACTAAGCGCATGATTTCTGGGACTTCTGACTGATGATAGACACTTTAGCCCGTCGCTCACATCATGGTAGTAGTAGCATTCGTCGTAGAAGCAGCATCCGCTGTAGCACTGGTAGCAATCGCATCTGCACTGGTAGCAATAACAGTAACAATCTGAAAATGATACGACTACTGCTATTCCACCACCACCACCACCGCCACCGCCACCGCCACCGCCACCGCCGCCGCCGCCGCCGCCACCACCACCACCACCACAACCACCAGCACAACCACCACCACAAACCCACCACGACGATAAGTACTGTTACTACTACCACTACAATTAGTACAACTGCCGCTACTGCTATGGTGACTAGAATTGTGGTTCCTTGTTATTAAAAAGAATAGCAGCACTAGCCGTAGCAGCAATAACAGTAGAAGTGGCACTGGCAACTCGAGTAGTGATACACACGGTTATAATACTGTTACTAGTGATAACAATAACTGTAGTTATAGAATTGATCGTAAGCACGGTGGCCATGGTTGCAACAGTGGTAATGCTGCTGATAATCACACTACAGTAGCAGTCTTGAGGCTATTGGTATGTTCGGAGAATGTAGAGGTCAAGCATTCCTAGCAAGCATGCATCAAGGTCCGGCTTGCCGGCAGCTGTGGGGGCCGGGAGGTCTGGAATAGCGACAGCCATGGCCTCCCAGACGACCTGAAGAAGGAGCATTCATGGATTCTCAGAAAATTGATGCTCATGGTGTTGATCTCCACGCATCCTGCCTTAGGACTAAGATCCTAACAGCAAGGTCTCCAAAGAAGGAAGCGCTGGATGTCACGGCTGCCGCAGCTGAAGCAATTCACGTAAGCCATTGTCTAAGCTGCTACTGTAATATCCCCTCTATGTAGTCCCCTGTGTAACCCAGTATCCCCGTGAATAATCCCCATAGTAGTCCCCTGTATCAGCTATAGTCTAAACTCCTGGTATGCCCCCTAATAAACCCCTACAATACTCCTTAAAGGGGCTCATATGACCCCTTATACTAATACATCCCTCAAAGCTGATGCGCGCAGTGCCCAGATCCTCTGGGGCAGCCGCGTTTTATCACCCGGAGAGGTCTGGCCTCTGATGAGGGGTTTAGGGTTTTAGGGGTTTAGGGGTTTGGGAAGTTTAGGCTGTAGGGTTTAGGGGATAAGGGTTTTGTGGTAGGTTGCTTCAAGCCGAACTTGGGGGTTTCCAGAAAATTAGGGGTCCCCTTGTGAGGGTCCCCAAAAATAAACAGTATGATAGTATTTTGGGGTCTATATTGGGTTCCCTATTTAGGGAAACTACCACATTATGTTGGTTCGATTATATCGTAGGTCATTGCCCGACTACACCTAGTGCTATGGTCGATGGACAAAATCCTGCACCCTGCAACTAACATGCTACCACCCTAAACCCTAAACCCAGAATTCCCCGGGGCTTGGTAGATACGGTCATGCCGGGTTGCGCTTCACTACTGCTCCCTGGTGTTGGACAGCGGCCTTGAGATGGATTGGCATAAACCCTAAGCTCTACTGGGTTGCTGTTAAGGAACTTAAGTTAAGTTACCATTATATAGTAAACAATAAGGTTTCCCCAATATAGTGACTTAGTTTAAGTTCCTTAACAGCAACCCAGTCTAACGCGCAAAACCTTCGGGCCAAGATCTGGCTTGCAATGCTTCCAGGTCACTCGGAGTGGTGCCCCAAACCCCGTAGGGTGGGCTGTTTCAGCAGGCTCACTGCATTGGTTCCCCACATCCGCTAAAGCTTAAGCCTGAAAGCCAGGTATATAAACTGCTACGTGCTGGTGGGGAATGATGGAAGGGGATATTGAAGCTGTTACCAGCATGACCATGGGTATCCTAATAGGAAAACACTCCTTCACTCCCAACTACGTAGCAAGCAGAATCTTCGGGATGCTGACAGAACATGCCCATGAGCTAAGGAGCATGGGAGTCCGGGCAAAATACTTTCCAAGTTTTGGAGGTGGCACTCTTGTTGCTGATCTGGTGCAAGTCCTTGTGAACAGCTAGTCATGCATCGACAACTTTTACCACGGAATGCTCGAGCTTGGCTGTCAAGCAACCACGGCAGTCAGATTCTGTACAGAAATTGAGCCTGTCCCAAAATTCCTGTCCCCATGAACCTCCGAAGTCAGAGGATTAGGCCAACTACTAACGGCATCCCAGGCAAGGGACTGCAATTTTGACACATACCCAGGAAGCTCTCAGCGGCTAAAAAGCAAATTCTAAACCTGGAGCCCTAAACTCTGAACCCTCAACCCTGAACCCTAAACCCTCAATCCCATACTCCAAAACCTAGAAAATGTCTTCCGAACCTAAACTTTTGGCACTCCAAAGGCTTCGCCTGCGGAGGGCCAAAACTTGCTGGTTGTTAACTGCTAGCAGGGAAGAACGCAACGGAACTGCACGTGGAAGCTATTGTTTAGGGTTTACGGTTTTGAGGTCTAGGGTGCGGGACATTCCCTACAACAACCAACATGCAAACAAAAAGCGGGTGTCGTGCACAGGCCTTGGGCATAGGGAATACCTTCTCCCTTCAGCAGTCATATGTAATGCCGCTTTGTAATTGAGAATAACGCAGTCAATAGTAGAAACCAAGAATCTCTAGACATCCAGAGGATTTTTCCGGCGCCTTCTTGCACCTAGAGACGATATGCTACATCCAGCAGGCGCAAAAACTACCCTTCTGTAGGATTTAGGCTTCAAGCTTTCTCCAAATGGGGAGCCCCTCGGGCTCCTGGAGATATATTGGGCCCATAATCCCCTCCCCCCTCCACCCCCCTAATATCAAACACTCCCACGTGGTACAACGTACCACATACTGGGAGTATTTAATATTAGCGGGTGGGTGGGTTTAATCTTGGCGGAGGCAATTACAGGAGCCTCCATCAGGAACTGGGTTTAGGGTGTAGGGGTGAAGGTTTGGGAAACTCCCACATGTGAAAAGTTGTTTCATGGGGGGTGGGACCGAATAGACAGGGGCCTGGAAAGGGGTACTATATAAGTAGGATGTTTGTCTGAGGCATGAATCAAAAGCATGGTTCTAGATCCATGGATCCAAATTCAAGTTGTATTTACATTACAAAAAAACGATCACCCCACCGCAAAACGGATGCGCCTATATGAAAACAATTCACTCTGTCAGCCTGAACCTAATCAAGTCACGTTCAATCAATCTCAGGCAGGCATTTGACACTGAAATGGAGCAGAATGGTACTGCATGCTGGCTGCTTTGGAATTTGAAGCCGGCACACTAATGATGCGTTTAAAATCCATTTCTCCGTTGCTGATAATGTTCTTTTGGAGTGTCCAGTCCAGGCATATGACAGAATTTGTTTCTTGTAATCCTTCAGGTGCTTGTGGTGGCCTTCGCCATTCCCGCGCAGCAACACCACTGCAAAAGGTGACACTAATAAGTTCCGGGACTATTGCATACTGTCTCTATTAGGGGCGGCAACCCAAGGCAAGGGTGGTTGATTAGTTTAGGCCGAATTTTAGCTGACCCAGGTCAATCCTACCCACATCCACTCCCGACACCCTTATGAACTGCAGCAGGAGGGTCCTAACGCCAGAGAGGTGCCAGCAACAGCATACCCTTCCAAAGCTGTCCTGTGTCCCTGATGCAGGTTTGCTCATAGTCTGATTTCGCAGCTTCATGTAAACCATGTCGTAACAGTCTAGATAAATAGCACTGGGTCAGGGATCATATCCACGTCAACAATACCCTAGGAGGGAGGACATGGAGTATAGCGTACTCAAGCACCAAAAAGCAGAGATGCAGCTGATTGCTGGCTCCATTGCACGGCAGCTACACTATGAACAGCAAAGCCGAGGGCAGATACTCAGCTCCCCCTCAGAATTCAGCTCCCGGCCAATGACAATCATTGCTACTGCTCTGCATTGGTACTACGCATCGGAGATGTTGATTCTGCTGGGGGATGCAGTGACATTGTTCAGAGGAATCACCAGCCCACCTCTGTGCCCCCTACATCTCAGAAGGTGGCTGCAACGCAAATGACTTGGATTTGGAGATGGCGGCGGACTCGGACGCAGAAAATGTGAGCCGAGTCACCTGTTGCTTTCTCAAAATACGGGTCCCTTAGCGAATCTATGGATATGCCATAAAGGAGAGTGTAGAGGTCTTTGACCAACTCCCTGTAGGGTTTCAACACCAGCGCCGTACTTCTTTAAACTCAATAAAGGCATTGAAAACTAACTGACTTTGACGCTTCCTGCCTGACTTACGAAGGAGCGCGTCTTCTCCGTTGCCCACTCCACGTCATCCATGCCCGCGGCTTCGTCTTCGTCTGCTTGCCTTTGGTTGGCTTCCTGTTGTCTCCGAGCTTCCTCCTGGATGATGGCTTGGTGGAAAATGAAATTACCTAACCATTTTGTATAGACCGTGATCTAGTAGCATCTAGTTAGCACTTCTTCTTCTGCTCTTCAGTTTACATCACCAAGACCGCACTGTCCTCTACCTCGCGTTGCTCGGCTTCAGCCCTTTCCTTCTCCATCTCTCGCTCCATCTCTTCCTGGAACCTCCGCGTTTCCCGCAAGTCCAGCGCTCGGCGTATGAACACCACGACAACGATGAGAATCGCCACTATTACGCCCGCGCCTGCTATCACAACCAAAAACACCTCTTGCTGAAGGTCACTGGGTCTGGAGAGACAGAGCAGGTCGCGACCAGCAGTTGCATACTCATCGTTTTGATGATAGTAGCACACTATAGGATCTCGCCAAGCCCAGATTCGGAATTTGTCACATTCCTCACGCTCCAAGAAACCTGTGCGAGCAATGTCTTCATGCTCGCAGGGCACTCTGATGTCGCAGGCCTGCAGCACAAAGCCTTCAGTTCGCTTAGGAGAGGCTTCATAAAATCGCCGTATGAGATAGCGCCCTGACACTTCTGTCACAACCCCCTTGCTGGTGACAAAGGCATCTGGCAAGGACTCAATCTGGCAGTTTCCTTCAACATAGTCCATGTTGCGCATGACGCTGGATACCAGTAGTACAGATGCAAGCACGAACCCGGATATAGGTATGAGCATCAGAGACCACATCAGCATGGCAAACACGGTCCCCCACGTGGGCAGGAGCTCCAAGAATGGGTCCCAGTATGCAAAGATGAGCGTTCTCCACGCACGACGGTACTTCCTCTGAAGATCCGATGGTTTCACCGTGTTACCATTCGCGTCTATCAGATCCTCTTTCTCCATGTCGTCCAGCACCTTCTTCAGACTTGCCCACATCTCAATGCGCGACTCCTTCCATATCTCATAGGTGGAGGCCTTGGCGCATTCCCAACGAAGCTCAAATCAAGCGCTGATTTCGTCATCACAGAATGTCACATAGCAATCCTACATCATTGCTCCCCACATTGCAATTGTTGAGAAACAAGTCCCTCGAGGGTGGCTTCACAGACATCAGGGAAAGAAATTTCGCCGGTCGTGCAGTACACGAGTCCGACATGAGGAGAGGTAAGGAGGATGAGGCTGCTTCAAACAGAGTGTAGGAACTGTCAGGTGCTTCCTCAGCACTTATGTCCCGCCCTCTCTCAACAGGCCAGGCAAGAAGACCTGAGACTTTGAAAGGTAGGTCGAGGCACCCATGAACTATACACATCCTCCTTAAAACCCCACATAGAACTACCCATGAACCTCCAAGCAAGGCACCCAGTTCCAGGGCAGCCAAGCTGTCCAGTCCAGAGCGGCAAGGCCAGTGGGTTCCGGGACCTCGGAGAAACTGCTCGCAGCGCGTGGCAGGTTGGACTTACCAAACCTCAGCGGGATTTGAAGCCTCGTCAAGGCCTACATTATGGTCTAGGAGTCTAGGCTTAAGACGAGAAAAGAGAAGCATCTCGAAATCTACTCCAGGAACCCCGACTTCAGTGACTTGAGCTGCAGGTGGCTTTGGCCCTGTTGCAAGGTGCCTTCCTGTTTGTTCGCCATGGGATCCTCCAGCTCACCGTGCAGCTCACCGGCCTCAAAGGTCATTTCCTTCCGCAGTTCTCGAAACTTCTCACGGGCAGAAACGTTCTTCTGCGCTTGCTCCTGCTTGGGAAGGCGAGGGTGCTTCTGCTTTAAGGTGCTCCTTGGCTGCCGTGATGGACCCTCTGCGAAGCGGGCCGTCAAGGTGCCGCTCCTGCGAATGGACTGGCTCCGCCCGACAGCCATACTGCCACTTCGAGACATAGATCGTGACATGGAGCGGCCTTTTCTGGACAACTTCGAACGAGAGGAGGATCGTGGCACTTCAGCTGAACTACCACAACAGCAGCGGAAGGCACCCAACAGCAGCAGGAGGGGGCAGCAGAGGCAACGGATGCTGATAGCGAGGTATTTGCACCTGGCCTCAAACGCAGCCCAGGCCCTCGACAGGAGCTGGAAGCAGCGGGCACATGGTGCACAGCAGCGGCCGATTCTCCGCGAGCAGGCGCTGCAGCGCTCATTCCAGCGAGCTCGGACTCGGGAAAGCCGTGCGCAGCACCCGAAGCACCCGCAGCATGCACAGGCGCGTGACAGCCCGGACCTCTTACGAGGGCTTGGTCCGCTGGGCTCCTCGCCGGGCTCGACTTCAGATCGCTTTGGTGTGAAGCTCTCTATCCCTTCTACCTGGCCGGAACGTCGTGGAGACACTGTGTCGCTGTCCGGCATACCAGATCCCTTCCTCGTCCATGAGCGCGTTAGGGACATCGCAGAGGCTGCCTTCTTGGCCGCCCTCTCCTTCATGACAGCTGTTCTGGTAACAACCGCATCTTTATCAGACTCAAGGTCATCATCCGGATATGATCCGCCCTTGTCTCCATCCCAGGACTCCTCGCCATCCTCCCGGGAGCCCGCTCGCTGCGGAATCGGAGCCTCAGACTCAAATCCAAACTCCAAGTCCTGAGGCTCTTCCTGCGCTGCGCTATACACAGATATAGATGCATTCTTAAATATCTATATAGAGATGTAGCTACATGTGACATAATCTATGTATGTATATATATATATAGATGTACATATATATATACATATGATTACCTGTGTTATAAAATGTGATAAAATTACACATGGGCGATAATTACATCCTGTGTAGATTCAGCCAGTCCATACCTATCACAAATGGTACGTGCCCAAAAGCCGAAACCAGGCCCTCACGGAGTCCCGTTCCTGAACAAGGACCAGCCTTCGCGTACGCATCCAAATGAGGGCGTCTCAAAATCAGAGACCTCTAGAGACCCGGGTATGAACACAGGGACCCTTTTCCACGGCCTTTGGAAGGAAATCAATAACGGAAAATGTCTCAACATTGGGGTTTCCAGAAAATGCCCAAGTATGAAACCCAAAATATGACAGTCCGTATTGCAGGAACACGCAGCAAGGGACCCATTTTTTGGATAAAAACATGTACCACATATCCCAAAAACATAGTGAAGGAATCGTAAGTAATGGTAATACTAGTAGTATTAGTATTAATAGTAGTAAGAATAAAGTTATCAATCCAAAGCCCTCCTTGGGGTCGGCTTGGCTGCTCTCCGCACTGGCCCCTCGACTGCCTGACTCCTCTTCATCACTCCTGAAGCATGGCTTAGGAGGACCCCCCATCGTGTAATAGTGGTATAATAGGAATATAAGAGGACCCTAATATATTCCTTCTTATCCCTTATAGTCGCTATTTCTGAGTGGGGGGTCCACCTAAAGCATGGCTCACGCAAGACTAGACTAAGATCCTTTGAAAAGGGGGCCTTATAGGGTTGCACGCTTGGGGAATGTGAACTCAGCCCGCCCCCAATTTGTATGCAAAGCAGTAGAGCAGTATATTATAATATATATGGGGTAATATTAGGGTTATATTGGGGTTATATGGGGATAATGGAACAGAAAATGGAAGCTAGCATATTAGGGTATAGAGGCTACTTTCAAGGACAGTCCGAAAGATCCATGTTTAGTGTCCATTTTGGTTTGGGGACGGTGGCTTTTCCAATGTTAGCCGTTGCCATCAGCTGAGCCCTACATATCCCAAACGTTGGAAAATTTGAACATTGACGTCTAGGGAGTTGCGCGTAATTCTCAAAAACTCAGGCGAGCCTTGTTTAGACTCAGGGCCGTTTGGTGTTTTAGGTTTTTGCAGAGTGCCAATTTCGAGAAATTCAGACTCTAGAATTCAAAATCATAAAAGCTGGATCCAGAGACCGCATGAAAACGCTTCATTTGTTGTAAAGGTGAGATTCTACAAATCCTTAAACCTTGAACCTTAAGATGATTCTGAAACAATGATCCACAAAGCTAGAGAAGCTTTCTGAAGAATGACCCAGGCTCTTTGAGTCCTCCGAGCTCTCGTCGCTGGAGCTGCTTGAGGAAGCCTGCTCCTCCCCACTGCTCATATCATAGCGCGTAAGTCGATGCAGGGAACCTAAATACAAGTCATTTCGAAGGACGTCAGCTCTGGTCTTCACGCAAGATGGTTTGGGCTTCGGGGTCTCAAAGTTGAAAGCCTTTCTCTGCTCCTGGCGTGTGGGCTTATTACTGCTCATCTCGAGCCATCAGCTTGCGTGGACAGGAGCCAAGAGGCTCTGCTTCAAAGGAGAGACGGCAAGAACCTGGCAGAAACTCCTGACTCAGCAATTGGGGGGTATATCGCGTAGATGCCCTTTCTTTGGGGGGAATACCATACTAACATGCCTTCTGCCTTCAAGCGAAGCACCTGCAGCTGCTTGCTGGTTAGCCGATTAGCAATTCATGCGGGTTTCCAAAATGTAGGGCCCCTGGGGTTCCTGAAAAATGTTCCCAAGGAAAGGATTATGATACATACATATATTATATATTTATATATATATGGGGGACTATCATCTGGCCCCCCAGGTTGTAGAACCTCCGCCCTCTGCAGGCCAGCACCTTTCTTGGGCCTTGCTGTTTTTCATGCACCCTCGGCATCTTGAAGGAGATGGGAACCAAAAATGCCAGCAATTCACATCCGGCAAAACAGGCTGAAAGGCTAAAGTAGCTGCAGGGACCCTGCACTCAGGGTCCACTGCAGGCGAAGCACGTTGTGCTTCCTGGCCCGTCTTCCAAGATGTGATGCTAGCCTGCATCCATCAGGCTGCCAATTTGCTCTCCTGAATTGTGATTCTGGTGGTTGAAATGCTGAACCAAGTAAGATTGCCGATAATTAGTCAGTTTTGCAAAAATGCCTAAGACAACCTTGAAAGGCTGCAATCCTGCTCCATGTGGGGGACTATGGCAGGCATAAGTGGGCTTCGCAACATGGGTGTCCTGCTAAGCCTGGAGGGATGCGCTGACAGTTCGAGGTTCGCAGAGCTCCCTGCATAGACCGGGTTCAAATGAAATTACAATGCTTTGCCAAAGTCAGGCTAGCAGCGATGTAGTCTGCCAAGTCCTGCGCAAGAAAGAACACCAGGAGAATGCAACAAACAGAGCTACAGCTTCTCGACTGGTGACGCCCCTACCAAGCTTGGCCGTGAACCTTGACAGTCTGAAGCTCCACTGGCATCGGGAAGTTAATCCAGGTGCCAGCCAGGATTGTCAGAAGCTCGATGCCAAACTCCTCTACATCGCAACATGAGGCCAGCGGGCATTTAAAGAATGATGAGTTTGGTGTGCGAGCAGGAGCCACATCCCAAGCTCTGAATCCTTCTCCAGCGCCATTCCGATGTTGGCAACCTGCTGCTCACCTCGTCCGTCGTATACAGCTACAGCTACAGAACGAACGAGCGTTGGGGTTCGTATATCCCTTCTGCTTTAGTCAGTGCTGACGCGGCGCCAATGCTGTGGGTTGGCCCCTCCAGGATGAAACCGACCATCGGAAGTGGCGTCGATGGTTCCGCAGTGGTGCCCGACATCTCTGTCAGCACGCGCTGAACCTTTCAACACTCGCGCACTTGGCAACTCTCTCACACACATACACACCAAAAAAATCCGCAATGGATCGTGCACGAACACTATCTTATGTGTCAATCATGGAAAATCAGGCTGCAGAGACACCAGAAAGCATGTGAATGCGCAGAACCAGCCCAGGAGCTCGGGACAATGTCTCTGGCAAAGCCTGGTGAGTTATCCTCACCACGCAAGGCACTTTATGTAACCACGATGTCACCACAATGTCACCAAAAGCACCCCCTGGCCTATCCAACCTCGGTGCTTTCCGCAGGTTTGGGTCACGGGCGCTGACGCAGTACGCGATGTCCTGCAAGGGGTCGACAAGAGACCGCAAAGAAACCAAAAGGGCGGTGCTGGTGCGAAGGTAGCAGTCAAGGGTTGTTTGCTGCAACCATGCATGGCTCGCATGTCAATGTCATGGCAGGAGCAAGCATAATCTGAGGCAGAAGTCCACTCGACCATTCCGCGTACTTGCGAAATCAGCTTGCTGTAGCGGCTGGTGCGCTGTAGAAGGTGGCCTTAGAAATGAGCAAGCCAGATCCCATCTGCAGAGATTCAAAGTGCATTACGCATGCTACAAGGGATGTACGCTGCTGCACGTCCATGATCTGAGGGCACAGCCTTTGCGCCGGGGAGGAATACACGTGGGTGGAGCTTCCGGTGAAAAGGGTCCTCGGTCACTTGATCGCAAAGAAATGTTGCAAGAACACTCCACGCTTGCTTTTCCCTCCGTCCCTGGCCACGCCCACAACCCTAGCTAGCTTCCTCTCCAGATCATTGCGTCATAACGTCTTCAAAGTTCAACAGCTTAAATCTATGTTCCAATTCTATGTCCACAGGAACATGAACATGCTATAACCTGAAAGATGCTCATAATTATACTTATATTACCTGAACAGCTGCTTGGCCACTCTAGAGAGTTGGCATTCCAGGCTGCGCCTGGAGCCTTTCCTGCCCAGGCGCTGTGTTGAATTGGTAGGTCTGATTTGATTAGGCTCAAAGCTTCAGAGTTCTGGGACGATTGGATGGAGTCTTGAGGTAGATTTCCACTTGTAGGATCGCATCAGACATCCTGCAACTGAGGTCGAAGCTCAAGTTCAAGCCCAAAATAGTACAAGCTTTCACCAATCTGGCTGAAACTGGGGGCTGGGGGCGTAGCTTGGTAACGTTTTGTTCGGCTGGCCGAAGGTAGCCCATGAAGAAATTTTCATGTTTCATGGGCCACCCTAGATAGCCTCAATAATGACAGTCATAATACTTTGGGGATCCCAAGGGGTGCAAGATTTCCTCCTTCCATTGCAAGGCTCTCAGATGAGAACCCAAAGAGGCGTACACCTCAGCAAGAAAAATAAAATTGCAAATTACCAAGGATTACATCGGGCCAGTAATCAACACGTAGGGATGAATTAATGTTAAACCCTTAAAACCCTAAACCCTGAACAAAATACTCCTGATCTGACATGAAGAATGAGACTGGGGAGGTCCTGTTATGAGCTGCTGCGCTGCTGTCTGCAGCTCCTGCACGGGCAGCTGCAAGATCCTAAGGGCGAAGCCTACAAATCCTTTAGAACTCCCATGAATTGACGTTGGCGTGAGGGTTTGCATGGCTGACATCTTCTGGTTCTTGACAACCTGTTGGATATGTCAGGTATGGACAACGTGAAGTACAGCCACCGGTTCTCACATGCCAAGATGTGTGCAACTCCTGGAATTTTGTGATGTCGCCAGTCTGCGGCACATCAGGATGATAGACCTGGATGGAAGAAGGATTCATGTGCTCCATTAGCTTGGCCTCTTATGCGAACTCTCATGTAGGACATGGTACTAGCATGCTGTCATGCACTTTGCGGTATTGAAGTCCCAATTGTAAAGCAACTTGTAACCCTCATTTAAGGAAGGTTGTGTCTTGAGGAATCTATGACTTACCATTTCTCTCTGAAACTGTAGGCTAGTGTGCTGCCAGGGGTGGGGCAGAAATGCAGTTCCCAGGCAATACGCAGTTTAGGGCAAAGTTTCAGGTTTTTTGGTTAGTCTTCGCGGCCCCATACATGGCCCTTCAGAATTTCAGTGACTTGCCAGGATCTATTGTCATTATTATTCAACCTGGACTGAACCCTAAACCCTAAACCCCAAACGCTAAACCCCCAAAAACCCTAATTATTATCCAAACTGGACTGAACCTGCAGGGTGCAGAAGCAAGTCGCCTTTGCCAGGCGGCGGAAAGCTGTTCGCACTGCTTCCTCATCCATCGTACCAGGAGGAAGTCCCAAGACCTGATGGGGATTAGCAAGGTACCCAATATTACCCCAATAATGGAGAATCAAATGGAAAAGAAAATGGAAAATGAAATGGAAACTGGGATTATATAGGGGTTATGTTGGGATAATGGACAAGAAAATGGAAACTACTATAATACAATAGGGTATATATATATATTGGGGTTATATTGGGATAATGGAAAATAAAATGGAAACTACTATAGTATATTGGGGTTTATATGGGATTAATGGAAAAGAAAATGGAAACCACTATAGTCCCAAGACCTGATTGGGTTTCTCAAGATAGGGCAGGGACAGGTTCAAACTACAAAGGGATTGAGAGTCGCCATGACAAACTATACTAAACATAGAGCGTCAGTATACTGCGGCTGCTTTGAGCAAAGTCCCAACATTCTCCTTTTTTCGGCTTGTTGCAGTCTTTGTACCACACACGAAGGCTGTGAGTAGGCACTAGCAGCGGTATTGTGACAAGCCCCTGTGGCAAGTTACCAAAGAAACTTTCGTGACAGATCAGAGCAGCGATATGAGTGCTAGCAGCTTTTTTGTATCTACGGTCTTGGAGTAGCGCAGGTCAAGCGCTGAAAGCTGACAGTTGGTCATCCTCCCTAGGTCCCAGTTGTCCTTTTCAGACATCCTGCAAACAGCTTAGGGGCTCCAGTGCTACCCCCACTCCAGATCTCTGCTTCCAGAATTAGAACAAAACGTCTGTCATGGACTTTGCAATTGCTGCTTCATACGTGGTATGCAATCATTTCATCATGTTCAGCCTACAATGACTGCAGATATCATTAACGTGGAGCTTCGCGTCCAGCATGTGTATACAGCGTATACTGATCTTTGATATCTCCGTGCCAGCCAACCAACCACGAGCCCTGAATCCTAAGCAACCAAACAGGTGTGTAGCCCTTGCGGATCTTTAGCGGACAGTAACGGTCATGATCTTCCACCTTCGTATTGAAATAATGCTCCCTGCACACTTCTTCCTGACGTGCCTACTACTGATTGATGTCCTATTCGCTGAACACAATGGCCGGTGTAGGTCTTTCAGCACGCAGCAACTGCATCCAGGATTATAGACTTTCGCAACTGATATTGTCAAAATGCTAGGCTCCTCAAAAGCAAGCCAAAAAAACTCCACAAGTCAGCGCTAACAGTAACATCCATGTTCGCAAGCAGCTGTGGTACCGGCGGTATATGGGTCTGCTTGGTTCGCACGTGCCGTCAAGGACTTGCCGGTGCTGCCGGTGCCTCCCCAGAGCGGTCTCAGAAAACATGCTTGAACAGTCCAGAGTTGGAGACTTGCACAGCACCTATGATCAGAAGGCTGCAGTAGGATGATCAGTGGAGAGTATGGTCACGGTTTCCACCTTCACTATCTCGCGCCAACCCTGAGTCTAGCAAAGTAATTAAATCTTGGGAGGAGTTTATAGTTAGGCCTTGGATGCAAGCTTGGGCAGGGACCCGTTTTGGTAAACCAACAGCCTTCTTTGGAGCATCCTTTTGAGCCGTAGCCACATGAGCTATAGTCTAAACTCCTAGTATCCCCCTTGATACCCCGTATAATGGTCCCCTATATAATCCCTTATATAACCCCCTTTAAGGAGTTTAGATTCTAGCTCACAGGCTCGTATGGCTACAACTTAGCAGAGGACTTCCTACCAACCTGCCATGCCATACTTGCACTCGTATTTGTAGTTTTGGAAGATTAGCACCGTGTGTTGTAACATTGCCAGCATAGATATGGCCTGGCCTACAGCAAATGGGGAGCCCAACTGAGCCATGGTCTGCTCCTTAAAGGGGGTTATATGGGGGAATATGAAGGGGACTGTTATAGGGGTTTTTAAGGGGGATACTAGGAGTTTAGACTATGGCTCAGATGTGTTCCCTTCTATCCTGCCATGCCCCTTGCCTCCTCTATGAACTGGCCATGCTCCTCACAGGGTCAAGCCGGTACAGGAAGATATAGGCACCCTCATATCTTACCATGATCCCCTGCACACTATGAGCGGGTGGGGGGATTGCCTAAGGTTGAAAAGTTGCGCAGAACGAACATGCAGGTCCCTGCAATCCTACATGCCAAGTAGGGTTCCGTACGCTGCATCACCAAGGCCTCAAGCCCAAGGAACTGCAACCCAAAACAAGTAAATCTTAAGAAGGCCCGTGCCCCGAAGCACTTGACCTTTTAGAAAGAGCCATGAACTTCAGCCCCACAGCCGGGATGCGCCTCATTATCTGGAAGCTCACAAACCCAGTCAAAATGGAGCCCTCACGTCCCTTCCTCCTTCCACAGACGGGAGGAAACATAAAAACACAGTACATCCTCAGTCGTAGGCGCCCCCATAATCCCTTCACAATCCCCATACACTAGGGTTTTGTAAAATCCACCCAATTTTGCCAAACCCTCAGGTCAGTCCTGTGAAGCTGCGTGCGTTACTGGCATGCCAAGCCGTGGAGGAAAGTTGCACAAAAATGAGAGCACCTTTGGATATGGTTCAGGGTTCAGGGGACTTGGGGCGTTTTGCTACTAGGGAATGGAGGAATGGAAAATGCAAGGAAACAACACATCATTGGTGCCCTTTGCGTTCTACTTCAGGGATCCATTCCCCCATTCCCTACTACAATTTTTTACTGGTTGCGGCAAAATGAGGTTTAAGAGTTTCTCAAGACTACATCTAAGCTGCTCATAGGCTCATAACAACCCTACACCCCTAAACCCTGAAACCTAACAAAATAACCTGGTAGCCACAGCAGCCCTAAATCCAAAACTTTTGCTCACACATGTAATTGGTCAGAAGGGGAAGTGGCTGGGCGATGAGTGGCAGCTAAAACACCCAGATGCTTGTACTGGCTTGCTCAAATACAACCCCAACCATGTGTATGACGAGCATGGACATGCTGTAAGGACTGACTACGCAGGGGGATAGTGCCATGCATGTGAGGTATTCGCAAATCTTCTATCCGCTTGTACAACAATCTCCTGCTGGTGCCTGAGATGCAGACTCAAGATGGAACGTCGCCGGCTCATACTGCTGATGCAGTTCAGAGTGGCAGAGTTTGCTATCTAATTTGTGTGTTCAAGGCTTCATGGGGGGAGTTGAGTGGTCATTGCATGACTCTTCTACAAGATTGCTGGCCAAAGCTGTCTTATTCAATAAAGCATGCCCGTCATACCGTCATGCCCAGAGCCAAGGGCTGTCAGCATCGGAGTGCACAGGTTCAAAGCATGGAAACCAATTGCAAGGCAGTTGATCCAAGAGCTACTGGTGAGGAAGATCAACTCCTGGGTTTTTCCTGCCCTCGTGCGGCAACTTGGCAACGCCTCATCCACAACACTTGAATTCTTAACAAATCTCCTAAAGCATCGCGCAGCGCCTTCCAGAATGTGCCGCACGGACAGGCTTAATTCGTGAGTCATCTGTGCCCAACAACGCTCCAAGATCCTAAGCAAGTAAAAGTGGTTTAAGCATTGGCTGCTATGTCCAATACAAACCACTCAATCATAGTCCAAAGAAAGATTAAATCACGATTCTTTGCTTCACCCCAAGAACTTGGAACCGTCGGGCGCTTGGTTATCTGTGACTCGCACGTCGATCTAAGTGGCACACGCTGTTAGCGTCATTCAAATTACTACTTCGCTTACTATCACTGCTGTTATCATGGTCACTTGTTTTGTTAGGGCATATCCAAGGCCTTCCAGGCTTGTTTCCCGCGAGCCAAAGCGATTTATAGGAAGGTTTCAGGACGCAGCGATCGAGAATGGCGCAGGACGGCTTCTGCGTTTGCATGGCAACGAAGGTGACACTAAATCAGTTGATGCATTAGTTTTTTTGGATGCAACATGGCAGGTACAAAGGAATTATGCAAGCCCCCTTAAGGACGTGGGCAACATTCTGACAAACTCACAGCTACCAAAAAAATGCAACAGTGTGTTCTCGTACAGCTCTGTGTGTTTGCCTTTTGTCTGCGCAGCGACTCAACCAATCTTCCAATAACAGGTCCAAACAGGCCAGCACAAAGGCTTTAAAAATGTCCGTGCAGCGGATGGAAAACGGCCAAAAGGCCACAAGACCCCGTCCCTGCCCTTGCCCGAAGCAAACGCGGGACATGCCCTCATCTGAGCAAAAGCGTTGCGCCCGGGAAGCGCTTCAGGCTTTGTCGCAGCTCTCTGGAACCAAACGCGTTCCTCAGATTTTCAAGTGCGCCCAAAAGTCGAGGTCCTAACATTGGCTCCTGCGACATGTCCTAGGCTTCGGAACTGTTGTCGGACCAAGGGCTTTCAGCTGCAATGTGACTTTGCAGGGAGGGCCTTGGGCTTGGGACTCCACTTTCTGCAAGCATCAGAACGCCCGAACCAGCCCGGGTTCTGGAGTGTACCAAACTAAGTCATCTTTAATAGATTCTTCGACTCTTGCCAAATAATATGCGATTAGCTTACCCATCACTCTGCAGAGCTCACTGCTCAACACCAGACCCCAATGAGTTAAGACCCCTAGCCTTCAAAACGTGAAGCAAACATTTAAGAAGCTACTCTCGTTTGACAAATTGTCAGTGACCATAGCTTGTGGATCTCAGGCCTGAGATGGAGGCAGGCAGAAACCTAGAGCTCTTTGCCAAGCCTCCGCTCTTGAAAGATGCGAACAGGGTCATTGGCTTCATCGAAGGCCACCCGCTCCTTGCAGTATCGCTTCCACAGCACGCAGCGCAGAAAAGCTTTCCAAGCAGAAACATCGCGCCAGCTCTATACTCAGAACCCCACAAAGGGTTATCACTTGGGTAATGGTTGGCAAGCCTTGCTCTGACTCTGACTCTGGTAGCCGAGGCACAGCTTTCCAGTACTCAGAAGTGTCCAACTCCTTCTTAGTCAAAGGCAGCGGAGGCAAATACTCCACCTTGGTCGAGCTACGGCGCACAGACCACCCGCCCGCAATACTGCTCATCTCTTGCAACTCTTGCGGTATGTGGTGACACCTGACAACACCAAAGAGCCGGCAACGACCCCGACCGAAAGTACATGTATCGTGCAGTTGAAAATGCGAATCTCACCAAGGCATGGCATCAGCACCGAAAGATCAGCGTGGAAGCCTAGGCACATCCTGCGGGTTCACTCCACCAGCTTCCTCGGAACAGGCTGCTGCTGAAAGCCATGGCCTACTGTGGTGAAGAATTCCTGTCCACAGCTGAGGCTAAGGTCAGGTCAGTGCAAACATCAGAGGTGCGGAGCTCAAGCGAAGCTAACGTGGCCCTTTTTCGGAGGGCCCTCATGGCAGGGATTCTATCATTGAAAGGGACAGGGAAGACAGGTTGAGAAACTGCATAAGCTTGGCCTGAACCTTGAACCTCATGTTAATCTGGGTGCCTCAAAAGCATGAATTCCCTTTACATACCACATGGTACCATGATGGTTCGTAATACATGGTCTGTCAGAAATTGGGACCCCAAGTTTTGGAAAGCTCCCATCTTCACCGAGAGTCGTTTGCAATGCGAAAGAAGTCATTGAGCTCCTCGAGACTTTTCCTTCAACAGTGCTGCGGAGGGAAATATGAGGAAATCACATCGTACGACCTGAGGCCAAAGATAATCTTTAAACTGCTCCAATTCCCAAGCAGGGTTTTGGGGAGGCTTCGGAAAAATTGTGGATCCCTTTTGAGGGACTATGTTGTCAGCCTGTAGGAGCATGATGTAGAATTACGGGATTTTTGCATGGAAAATCCAGATATCTAGGATCTAGCGCTTATATAGGACTTATAAAGAGAATGGGACCGATTTTCGCGGAATCTGTGTAAGCAAAAAACATGTTGCCCTACAGAGAGTTTGCAAATTACATGGCGATCCAGAGAAATACGCATCTGCAAGACAAAAAATGTGTCATCTCAGTTGTAGGTTCCATTTGGCTCAATACGCTGCCATGCAACGCATGCAATTACTCGTTGAAATGTGGTGACCTGAATTCGCTCGGAGGTAAATGGTACATAGGGGGACCCTAATATAGACCCCAAAATACTATAGTTCTTTATGTCTTTCTTATGGGTACCCAGGTACCCCAAAACAAGGGACCCCTAATTTTGGGAAACCTCATGAAGCCCCAAATATGAATCCGTCCTGTACAGCTTGCTGGCCACGTCAGCATCTTTGCGCTCGTTGAGCTTCGTTCCTTACTCCAACATCGCAAATGTCTCGAAATCCGGGCACCCCGCAGGGACCTAAACCCCAAATGGTAGTTTCCATTTTCTTTTCCATTATCCCCATATAATCCCTATATAACCCCTTTAAAGGGAAAAGGATTAGAGGATCCTTGGCTCAAGGATGTCAAAGAAGTTGTTGATAATCTTATTGATGATGCGCGCAGCTGGGTGGGTTTGACACGAACCTACTTGCTGCCTCGGGAAGGTAAGCAAGCATATAGTTCGGGACAAGACCGTAGCCTTTCGCAACCAACCCCCAGAAAGGTATCCCAAGAGTAAAGCTCATGCCTACACGCACCTGCTTGTTTCTGTCCTGCTGGTGGTTAACAGGGACGGAAGAGTTGGCTTCCAGACTTGTTTAAACTGTACGGACCCATTCCTCCATTCACTACTTCCCACCAGCAAGCTATACACAAAATACTAAAAGCCCTTGATAATCCACATCTGTCTCAATCCCCTGTCTATCCCCCACAAGATCCTGGAAATTTCTTGCGGGGATCCAACCCATTATGACAACCTAAGCTCCGGAAACCTACACCCTGAACCCTGAACACACTGCCTGCTGCTTCCTGGCAGCTAGTAAGGACTGAGGGAAGGGATTACAGGACTCAGGACCCTTGTAGTTATGTGATGGGGACTCCTATAGAGATCCGTTCCTCCGTTCCCTGCGAACCACAGGAAAGACTGATTATGACAACCCTAAACTCCCTCTCCTTGTATCCATACAAAAGTCCTGCAGAATCTGAGTATACTGTAGTACCATACTTCCCAAAGTTTAATAAGGTACATAGGGCCATGCAGGAATTTCAATATCAAACGTACCGCCCCAGCATCCCAATTCGCTCATGGTCTGCTGGAAAGCGCCCGCGGCCTTTCGAGCTTCGTCGGCCTTTTGCAGGCTGGGGGAGTACAGGGCTAGTTTTTTTGTTGCTTTGGGGTTTGGGGTTCAGGGTTTGGGGTTTAGGGTTTGGGGTTTAGGGCTTGGGTTTTTTTGGGGGGGTTTGGGGGGGGGTGGGGGTTGGGTTGGTTTATGGCAGCTCAAGACCGCATCCTGCACTATGCTGATCCCCGCATGGCATCTTACTGCGCTTAGAGGAACCGATGTTCAGTCTTCATCTTGCCTTGTATGATACGGCTTGTAAGGAGATATCTCAAGATGGGCTGAAGTAGCGCTGGTCCAGGGCCATACCATCCTGGAAAGATCCACAAGACACCCTCCCGCCCCGGGTGAAAGAACAGTACTTTGCGAGTTGCCTTGACCTTCTTACCCTAGATCATCACTTCGCTGGATATGCCGCCTCTTTTTATAAGCCGCTGCAAAAATGGCGATACATCACGGAAGTGACGTCTTTAACCCTCAGCCCTGCCTCTCATGAAGCGCTCTAAAAAGAACGTTGCACATACCAACAAAGCGATGTGATCAATCCCCTTCACACGGCCCAAACATGAAGGATAGCTCTAGGAATGGAGGGATGGATCTCTCAAGGAGTCTCTTTACCAGTCCCCATAACCCATTCCTTCCCAACATGCAGGAATTATTCTAAAACTCTTCAGCATGAGTAGGGACCAACCCATGCCCCGAAAATTGGCTTGCTGTCTAAGGTTTAAGAGATGGCTCCCTCTTGAAAGTCCTCGAATATGTTGACGAACATTATCGCATCTCTCTCGCTCTCTCTCTCTCTCAATTATCAAAGGATAGTGGAAAAGCACAAAAAGGCGCAGCGGAACTTCTTGAAATGTCTGGTCTTGCTTGCGGAGCCAATCCCTTTTCTCTCTGCCTAAGGACGGGACTTGTTTAGCTAGTTTCTCAAATTTACTGCCTATGGGCCCCTACGCAGCAGCCACTGCCAATGTCCAAGATGTAGCCAAGCCTTCACGGAAAGCTCACCAGCACATCCACGCTCCCGGTGCCTGGCCCTGTACCAACAATGCTCCACAAGTAGCCCTGTATAATCCCAATATATACCTATTATACTATAGTAGTTTCCATTTTCTTTTCCATTATCCCTATATAACCCCAATATAGCCCCAATATAAGTCTCAGTCAACTTGCGCCAGGGCACGTAACTAGACTCTGGATCCCACACCTCGAAGCCGACCATCCTTGGTATAGGCTCAAATTGAAGAGTTCCCTCTCAAGATCGGGGTCCTTGTTATGGGGATATCTTGGCTTTGCGGCATGGCTTGCCTGAGCCACCTCTCACACATCGACATAAAACTGAAAGAGCAGTATGTGCAGCTGGGCACGCTTTGGCCCCTGTGATGCTACAGGTGCAAGTACAAAAACGCTCTGCCAGCAAAGACTGAGCGAAATGCCCATATTTTAAACCGCCTCGAAGACGGCTGAAAATCGAGAAACCTCCGCAATATCCGGATTCAAAGCTGCAACAAACTCTGCACAGGTAACGTTCGCCCCCTCCCACCCTTCTTTATACCCCAGGGCCATCCAAATGCTCAGGAGCCATCCAAAGCCAACGCCTTATTCTGAAAATTCATCCTACCGAAAATGTGCCAACCTGCAAGCACAGAGGCAAAAACAGTGGGGTCGTCAGTGCACCTCGGCTAAGCAGCGAAATGGGAACATCAGTAGGACCTCAAGCGGCTGAAAAAAAAAGTATTTCGAGGAATCATGATGACTAAACCGCAGGCATCCTGTTAGGGTCTGGAAACATTCGCCACAGGATGGACACTCGTCACGGACTCTCATGACATTGGGGGGTTCAAAAGTCCCTAGAAGCCCCTGGAGGGATCCAACTTTGGGGTTCAAGGTGGAGACTCGTCAGTGTCGTCGATACTTCTGCCAATGTGGTGCTCGCCGTGTGCTGTCAGGATCATACAAGACATCACTACGGACATGACTTGAATTCTTGCTTAGCATGCTTACTACGACAACTGAGGAGGAGTTTTCTAGCAGACTATAGTATATTACAGTATACTATAGTATATGAGATGTGGGCCCTGACTCCCCTCTCAAGGGCGACTCAAGGGTGACATTATCCATGGGAACATGCTGGCTCGGACTGTAAAAGACATGTCTGTCCAACCCTCATGCCCCTAGTGTGATCCCGATGTTGCTTCGGATCCTTAATGGAACTACTATCCTTAATGGAACCCTCTTGCAAGCAACCCTTAGGAGGCAACCCTCAACCATGATGTACTTTGTATGAGACAATCCCCAAAGAACCTGAAACCTCGAACCCTAATCCCGCGTTTCTAAGGGTCCTTAGCCCCCGTCACTGAATCCCTAAGAGCACATCAATTTCGAGAATCTGCACATCAGCCAGAACAAGCCTCACAAGAAGCTGACACCTTATTTCGGCCCCTGGCGTTCTACTTGTGAGAGTCCACCGGGACCTTGACCTGGACCGGTAATGGCTGACCCCGAGCTTGCTACTGTTTAGGACTTAGGAGGGGCTTATTAAGACAGGGATATTCTCGAAAGCTTTGAGGCTTTCGGACTTAGGGTTTGGGGATTAGGTACCTACAGGGATCAGGGCCTTTAGGATGGCCTTCAGGATGCATCCATATGCGTAGTGTGTACATGCGCGTAGAGACCTTTAGAAAAGTATGTGGGCATGCATGTATGTTGTGTAAGTATGTTACTGTAATGTTTCAATGGGAGTACTTGAATGCCCCACTAAGAACTACGCAAGGATCACATTGAACATTATTAGTTGCAGGCAAGGGTTCACAAATGAGTAGGTGGCTGTCACAGAGCTTGCTCCGCGACCATGTAGAGCTTACACTATGTGAGCTGTTTCCAGATGGCCCGTTTTTGCACCACAAAACACCAAGTGTCGTACTATCAAGGGCAAATGTCATAATCTTCCAAACAACACACCTATATAGGGGTAATATGGGGCTTACATCCCTTGAACATCTGGGCCATGGGTTTGGCGAGGCCAGCATTGTTCAATCATCTTGGCCCTAGGAAAGGAGCATGAAGACTGCCAGGGCATTGCGGTGAATGCTGAAAATCCATGACACTAAGTACCTTATACCTTGGAAAGTATCAGGGGAACCACAGTATATAATTAGGGTCATGCAAGATTCTTTAATATCAACAGTATCACTGCATGTCGTAGATCTGATTAACAAAGTCCCCCCAAAGCCACCATACCTCTACCGTCTCCACTCCAGACCCTCAACCCTGAACCCTGAGGATTATATAGGTTTGTATTGGGTTATGTAGGCTTATATAGGGTTGCATAGGGTTATATAAGTATACAGGTTTATGTTGGGTTATATAGGGTTATGATGGGTTATATAGGGGTATATAGGGGTCCTGAATCCTGGGCCGCCCAACTTCACATGGCACAATACAGATCAAAAAATACTTGGTCCTCATGTTGGAACCCCCAGAAACGGACCCCCAATTTTCGGAAACCCGAAGCCCCTAGCCTTAAACCCTATATATCCGTAAATACCCCTATAATATATATATATATATCCCCTTAAACCCTATATATCCTCATATACCCCTATATATCTCCCTATAACCCTTTAAGGGTACCTGCTGAAGTGTATTCCTCCTGAGCAGTTCGTTTGCATAGTAGACGTGTACATGTTTTTCTCCTGTTGCTACTTTGGCCCTAGACACAGAAATGAGGCCATGAGCACACTTTTAACAACTTGACATGTCCCAGGCTCTACATAAAGTTGTAGCCCTAAGTTACCAAGACTTTCTGTTTCGTTGTTCTGCGTGAAAATAAGCTCCGCA